CAAAAACCTACCATTGTGATAGTGCAACACACCATAGATTTATGAATTGAAATACTTTAGGTGCCAAAGCAAGTTAGTCAGGCATTAGTGTTTCTAATATATTTGGAATTGGATAAGCTCTTAACAAAACTCTGTGTATTATATTGATATAATATTTAAAGAACTAGACTTTGTTTTTGTTTTTGTTTTTCTTAATTTTTGAGATAATATCTCACTTTGTTGCCTAAGCTGGATTGCAGTGGCACAATCATGGCTCATTGAAGCCTCGACCTCCCAGCCTCAATCAATCTTCTCATCTCAGTGTCTTGAGTAGCTGGGACTATAGGTGCATGCCACCATGCCCAGCTAATTTTTTTTTTTTTTTTTTTGGTGGGGGAGACAGGGTTTTCCCATGTTGCCCAGGCTGGTCTTGAACTCCTGGGCTCAGGCGATCCTCCCGGGTCTGCCTCCCAAAGTCCTGGGATTACAGTTGTGAGCCACTACGCCTGGCCTAGAAAAACATTTTTTTTTTTTTTTTTTTTTTTTTTTTTTTTTTTTTTGAGACGGAGTCTTGCTCTGTCGCCGGGGCTGGAGCGCAGTGGCCGGATCTCAGCTCACTGCAAGCTCCGCCTCCCGGGTTTACGCCATTCTCCTGCCTCAGCCTCCTGTGTAGCTGGGACTACAGGCGCCCGCCACCGCGCCCGGCTAGTTTTTTGTATTTTTTTAGTAGAGACGGGGTTTCACCGTGTTCGCCAGGATGGTCTCGATCTCCTGACCTCGTGATCCGCCCGTCTCGGCCTCCCAAAGTGCTGGGATTACAGGCTTGAGCCACCGCGCCCGGCCGAAAAACATTTTTAAAAGAGCAAAATCATAGATATAGAAAAGTGCTACCAGGAGCAAAGTGTGGCTCCTTTACCAAACAAACTAAACATATTTCTAGAAGGCAAACAAGAGGAGAGCCTCAGATGGAGACTTTTCTAGGGATTTGCACTTATTTTATATTACCAGATTGTCGGTCTTAAAATTACAAAGAAATGAAATTCCTTGATCAGCCTTTGCCCCTTTCTTGCTCACTCACTATCTCTGTAAATATCCATAAATATACACTGCAAAATCTTACAACAATCAAAAGGATGGGGTATCACTGTTACCTATTGGGTAATCAGGGACATCCAGGGGTTCATTTTGTGATAGTTCAGTTTTGTTCTTAGGAAAAGATTGGGTGTCCTTAGAAAGACATATGAACTCATTTAAGATATGTAAAGTGGCCAGGTGCAGTGGCTCACGCCTGTAATCCCAGCACTTTGGGATGCCAAGGCGGGCGGATCACGAGGTCGGGAGATCGAGACCATCCTGGCCAACATGGTGAAACCCTGTCTGTATTGAAAATACAAAAATTAGCCGGGTGTGGTGGCGTGCACCTGTAGTCCCATCTGCTCGAGAGGCTGAGGCAGGAGAATCATTTGAAGCTGGGAGGCGGAGGTTTCAGTGAGCGGAGATCGTGCCACTGCACTCCAGCCTGGCGACAAAGCAAGACCCCATCTCAAAAAAAAAAAGAAAAAGAAAAAGAAAATTTAAAAGTGGCCAGGCGTGGTTGCTCACGCCTGTAATCCCAACACTTTAGGAGGCCAAGGCAGGTGAATCTGAGGTCAGGAGTTCAAGACCAGCCTGGTCAACATAGAGTAACCCCGTCTGTACTAAAAAAAATACAAAATTTAGCCATGCATTGTGGCGTGCGTCTGTAGCCCCAGCTCCTCGGGAGGCTGAAGCAGGAGAATCACTTGAACCTGGGAGGTGGAGGTTACAGTGAGCCGAGATAGCGCCACTGCACTGCAGACTAGAAGACAGAGCGAGACTCTGTCTCAAAAATAAACCAACAAAAATTATATACAAAAGAATAATTGAAAACAAATTCTATTGAACTGGGTACTGTATAGGGTCTGGACTCAGAAATAGTGAGGACACAGGTTCTTATCTCTTGGGGAGACAGAAATCTATAATCCATGAATGAAAGGTGTGAGAGACAGCCTTTAAAGGCTAAGAGAGCATGAGGACAAAGCAGATAACCCAGGAAGGCTTCACAGGAGAGGTGACAGCATACCCGAAGGATGATGGGAGTTGGCCAGGTAAAGAAAGGGAGGATGGAAACCCCAAGCAGAGGGGCTGCATGTGTCAAGTGAGGGAAACAGGACCATACGCATATTTGAGAAAAGAGCAAAAAGTGTGTGGGGAGAGAATAGGAAGAGGCAGAAGACAAAGGGCCCAACTGTTGAAATCCCAACAAGGAATTTGGACTTCATTCTGTAGGAAATGAGGAGCCATTTAGATCTGTAAGCCAGTGAATGAAGTAGTGAGTTTCTTTCTTCAAAATACAACTCAGAAGGCATTTCGAAGAGTGAATTAGGAAGGGTTTGGATTATGGGCAGAAAATCCAGTGATTATTGAGGAAGGGCTGTCAAGACCAAGTCATCCATGGAATGAGGAGATTGAATTCGTGGAATTCCTGACTATTTAAACATAGTTATGAGGGGAAGAATGGGGGCTTACAAACTGGATATTGCCAGTGTCTTTCTTTTTGAAGATTAGAATTCAAAGTAAGGGGGTTACATTCCAAGAGTTGGGTTAAACATAAGGAAGTTGTTAGCAAGTAACTGATTGCAAGACAGAGATGGTGACCATCTGCTGGTGAGTAGTCTCATTAAAGTACATCCCCAGCAGCTTCCCTGGTCCCCAGGAGGTTGTCCTCAGCTAGTCACAATAGAAGTCACCACACCGACGGCTGTAAGAATGAATGAATCAGTTGGCCAAGAAGGTAGAGCTCCTATTTGCTGACAAAAAAATGGCACAGACAACCAGACTCTTGACTGGTTTGTATATGAAACTTTTTGTGGTCAGTAGGAGAGAACATTTAGGCATTTCATGTATCTTCTATTGTAGTGATTTCTACATTTATTATACATACTCCTTACGTCATTCCAAACCCTGCTCTAACAGGAGCCAGGAAAAATGTGTCTTTTCTAATGGTATCCAACACGCCTCGTGTATGTCAGATAATAAAGTTAGAAAATTTGCTCTGCTTAAAATATTGGATGTCATTGAGTTGAAATATCAATTAGGAAATTTAATGTTTGGTAAAGATTAGAATTACTTTGTTCACCCTCAAATAAATTCATCTGTACAAATACATGACAGGGAGAGTCCTTCAGTCATTCAGAGACCAAGATCATTATGTAAGAACATGGTATCTTTCCAATTACCTCATCTCATGTGGTTGACTATAACAGCATAATTTGAATTAATAATCCATGAACCAGTTTGTATTAAAATCATAAAGTGTATCTTAAAAGGACATAAATTAAGCAGATTCATATAGAAATGAAGACAATATTCTCAATATAATTTATATCTATCTGGATTTTATTCTTATAATGTCAGGGCATTACACATAAATAAGAAATTGAAAACTTGGAGAATCAAAAGCAAGATGATAAAGCAGTGATAAGTCAAGTCAGGACAGAAAGTCCAAAAATGTCTTTTAACCTTTAGGTAAACAAAGAAGGAAAGGAAGATCAAAGTTTTCAGCTACAGAAAAGGATCTCATTTGAATAGCAATAAATACAAAGTCACTTTTTTCTTCAGAGTACATTATAAATAAAACATTATATATACAAAAAAGATTCACCGTTTAATTAACTTGATTTTTTCATTAATATATGCAAAAAATTATACAAATTTATATTGGGGGGGATGTTCAAAGCTAACTTATTTTAAAGAAAAAAATCTGTCTAATACTCATCCAGCCACATTGTCCAAATTTCTCATGTATTCCTCCAGATATTTTCTATGCACATCTACAGAAATGGAATAACATACATAATATATATATATAAACAAAATTACTCTAATATGCTCTGTAAATTGCTCTTTTTACTTGACATTGTATCTTTAGCATCTATCTATATTGGTAAATATAAAGTTACCTTCTTTTTAATGTCTTCACAAAATTCTGTTTTCATGCATGGCCATAGTTATTTAACTATTCCTTTACTTATGGAAATTCAAGTAGTATTCAGTATTTTTAGAGCTTACATTCTTTTTTTTTTTTTTTTTTTTGAGACGGAGTCTCGCTCTGTCGCCCAGGCTGGAGTGCAGTGGCACAATCTCGGCTCACTGCAAGCTCCGCCTCCCGGGTTTACGCCATTCTCCGCCTCACCTCCCGAAGCTGGACTACAGGCCCCGCCCCTGCGCCCGGCTAATTTTTCTATTTTATAAGACGGGTTTCACATGTCTCGATCTCTGACTTTGACGCCACCTCGGCCTCCCAAAGTGCTGGGATTACAGGCGTGAGCCACCACGCCCGGCCAGAGCTTACATTCTTACACTGACTCCATGAATGGACTTTAGAGGGTCTCTTAAACCATTTGAAATTATAATAAAAATGTATATATGTGTGCATATGTGAATTACCTCTGGAGAAGAGTGTCTATAGCTTTCAGCACATTATCTGAAATCACAAGGAATCACAAAATGTAAAGGAACTTCATTACAGAATTTGTAGAACTGCAATTTCAGTGAAACTTTAGAAAACAGGATTGAGTACAATGACAGAATAGTGTTTCTCAACTTTAAAAAAATCCAAGCTACGTTTTTATATACTGTACATACACATACATAATGATCCCTGGCAGAAAGCACCACCTTCCACTCTTAATTCTGATAAATTCCCCTAAGGGAAGCATGCAAAGCACTCCCCATCCCTATCTATTCAACTTGATCTTCAGTTTAGGCCTTTTTTTTTTTTTTCTTTGAGACAAAGTCTTGCTCTGTCACCAGGCTGGAGTGCAGTGGCGTGATCTCAGCACACTGCAACCTCTGCCTCCCGGGTTCAAGCGATTCTCCTGCCTCAGCCTCCAGAGTAGCTGGGACTACAGGAGCCTGCCACCATGCCCAGCTGATTTTTTATTTTGGTATTTTTAGTAGAGAGGGGGTTTCACCATGTTGGCCAGGATGGTCTCGATCTCTTGACCTCGTGATTCGCTCGCCTTGGCCTCCCAAAGTGCTGAGATTATAGGCATGAGCCACCATGCCCGGCCCAGTTTAGGCTTTGATGGTACCTAGAGTAGGTAGAAGCAGACTTTAAAGCCCAAAACTTGCCCAAGACATAGCCTAATAGGAGAATTGTATCCCATAAACCTGGCATCCCAAAAAGATTATACCCTAAAGGTAAAGATGAACTAGAAGGTAGTCATCACCATATGATCCACTCCCCATCTCAACTCAAAACACAAAAACAAAACCTTGTCATATGCTAAAATTGGGGATTATCCATTCATGAGAAGTTGTAACCATGAGCTTTCATTCAAACCTCAGCCCAAATTTACATCACCTGAGTGGTCCAAAAAACTTCAAGCCATGAATGATATATTTCAAATGGTAATCCTCTACAGAAAAAAAAAAAAGACTATTTTTCTAGGCCACATATAACCTTCCAAAATAAGCTCCCAAGGAAAGTAATCTTCTCACTGTCAAAAATAACCAAGCACACAAGGAAACAAGGCATTATAAATAAGACAAAAGACCCACCAAGGATCAAAACGTTGGATTATAAGAATTAGGCTAGGCGTGATGGCTCACATCTGTAATCATAGCACTTTGGGAGGTTGAGGCGGGTGGATCACTTGAGGTCAGGAGTTTGAGACCAGCCTGCCCAACCTGGTGAAACCCCGTCTCTACCAAAAATACAAAAATTAGCTGGGCGTGGTGGCAGGTGCCTGTAATCCCAGCTATTTGGGAGGCTGAGGCAGGAGAATCGCTTGAACACGGGAGGTTCAAGTGAACAGAGATGGGTCCACTGCACTCCAGCCTGGGCAACAAGAGCAAAATTCCATCTCAAAAAAAAAAAAAAAAAAGAAGAAGAAAAGAAAAGAAAAAATATTTTTCCAGAATGAAGACAAAATAAAGACACCCTCAAATGAAGACTACAGACCACTGCTAAAGGAAATTACAAATGATTTATTTTATGTAGAAGAAAAATGATCCCTGATGGAAGATCTGAGATGCAGGAAGAATGAACAGCAATACAGTGGTTAATAATTAGGTAAAGACGCATGGGCATTGATAGTGTAAAACAAAGATAACAACATCTTGTGAGGCCAGGCACAGTGGCTCATGCCTGTAACCCCATCTCTTGGGGAAGCCAAGGTGGGAGGATCACTTGAGCCAGGAGTTGGAGGCCAGCTTGGGCAACATAGTGAGACCCTGCCTCTACAAAAAATAAAAAAATTAGGTGTGGTGATACACACATGTGGTCCCAGCTACTCAGAAGGCTGAGGTAAGATGATCCCTTGAGCCTGGAAGGCCGAGGTTGCAATGAACTAAGATCATGCCACTTGTACTCCACAGAGCAAGACCTCGTCTTGAAAAAATAAAATACAAATAAAAAATAACATCTTGTGAATTATTTAATTTAATTTATTTACTTATTTGAGACAGGATCTTGCCTTGTTGCCCAGGCTGGAGTACAGCGGCACAATCACGGCTCACTGCAGTCCCTACCTCTCAGGCTCAACCAATTCTCCCGCCTCAGCCTCTGGAGGAGCTGGGACTACAGGCACACGCTACCATGCCCAGCTAATATTTTTACTATTTGTAGAGTCAGGGTCTCACTATGTTGCCCAGGCTGGTCTTGAACTCCTGAGCTCAAGTGATCCTCCTGCCTCAGCTTCCCAAAGTGCTAAGATTACAGACATGAGCCACCACAACTGTCCAGAATATTTTTTTAAAAGACAGAATTAAAAATACATATAACCGGCCGGGCGCGGTGGCTCAAGCCTGTAATCCCAGCACTTTGGGAGGCCGAGACGGGCGGATCACGAGGTCAGCAGATTGAGACCATCCTGGCTAACCCAGTGAAACCCCGTCTCTACTAAAAAATACAAAAAACTAGCCGGGTGAGGTGGCGGGCGCCTGTAGTCCCAGCTACTCGGGAGGCTGAGGCAGGAGAATGGCGTAAACCCGGGAGGCGGAGCTTGCAGTGAGCCGAGATCCAGCCACTGCACTCCAGCCTGGGCAACAGAGCGAGACTCCGTCTCAAAAAAAAAAAAAAAAAAAAATACATATAACCCAGTAAAAGTCGGGAGTTAAAGTGTTTTAAGTACCTTGTATTTTCTAAGAAGAGGTTAAGGGTATTGATTAAGTCTAGATATTAGTAAGTTAAATATGTGGATTAAAATTTCTAGGCTAACTCCTAAAATCATATAAAAAAAGTCAGCCAGGCATGGTGGCTCACGCCTGTAATTCCAGCACTTTGGGAGGCCAAGATGGGCAGATCACCTAGGTCAGGAGTTTGAGGCTAGCCTGACCAACATGGTGAAACCCCATCTCTACTCAATAAATAAATAAATAAATAAATAAAAAGTAGCCGGGCATGATGGCGTATGCCTGTAATCCCAGCTACTCAGGAGGCTGAGGCAGGAGAATGGCTTGAACCCGGGAGGCAGAAGATGCAGCGAGCCAAGATCACACCACTGCACTTTCCAGCCTAGGCAACAGAGTGAGATTCTGTCTCAAAAAAAAAAAAAAAGAATATTAACAGAAGGCCAGGCACAATGGCTCACGCCTGTAATCCCACCACTTTGGGAGGCCAAGGCGGTAGACCATTTGAGGTCAGGAGTTGGAGACCAGCCTGGCCAACATGGTGAAAGCCCGTCTCTACTAAAAATACAAAAATTAGCTGGGTGTGGTGAGCGCCTGTAATCCCAGCTACTCAGGAGACTGTGGCAGGACAATGACTGGAACCCGGGAGGTGGGAGTTTGCAGTGAGCCAAGATCGTCCCATTGCACTCCAGCCTTGACGACAGAGTGAGACAAGAAAGAAAGAGAGAGAGAGAGGGAGGGAGGGAGGGAGGGAGGGAGGAAGGAAGAAGAAAGCAAAGAAAGGAAAGAAAAGAAAGAAAGGAGGGAGGGAAGGAAATAGCAGAGGGATTAATTAGACAGGCAGTTCCAGTTACTTGAGAGGTTAAGGCAGGAGGGCCGCTTGAGCTTAGGAGTTTGAGGTTGCAATGAGATATGCTCACATCACTGCACTACAGCCTGGGCAACAGAGGAAGTCCCCATCTCTAAAATATATATATATAGCAGAGAAAGAAGGAATGCCCCTCAAGTAAATATTATATTACAAGACAAACTACTATATGTTTTTTCAAATTACAAAAACTATCTGCTCTTCACTTTCTTCCTCCTCAAGATTCTGACACGCCCACCCGTTGGAGAAGCATCCAGATAGCATGTAGGACTGTGGAGTGTGGGAGAAGAACAGGAAAGATGGGGGATAAGAAAGCAAATATATATATATATATATATAAAATTCCTCTACCTCACGGATCTGTACGAAGGAAACAGACAACACGCTGGACTGAACAAATTCACTCACTGCATTTGCCTGCCTGGGACTCGGTCAGTGCCTTCCCTGAGCTCAGAAGCCTATAAACTTCTCCAATCTGTTCTTCTCAAGAGCACTGTATTAGTAATCACACACCAGAAACAACTGACAAAAAATTACTAGCACTAGGCCAGGTGTGGTGGCTCACTCCTGTAATCTTAGCACTTTGGGAGGCCAAGGCAGGAGGATCACTTAAGCTCAGGAGTTCAAGACCACTCTGGGCAACATAGTGAACCCTCATCTCTAATAAAAAAAAAAAAAAATTACTAGCACTAATAAAATATTAGCAGTACTTTCATGAGACCATGTAATTCTTTCAGGTACATTGTTAATGATCTTATTGAAATATGACTCATATGTCATACAATCCACCTGTTTCAAGTGTACAATTCAGCGATTTTTTTTTCGTGTGCTCACAGAGTTGTACAACCATCACCACAGTCTTAGCTTCAAATATTTTCTTTTCTTTTTTTTTTGTGAGACGGAGTCTCGCTCTATCGCCCAGGCTGGAGTACAGTGGCGTGATCTCAGTTCACTGCAACCTCCGCCCTCCCGGGTTCAAACGATTCTCCTACCTCAGCCTCCTGAGTAGCTGGGATTCCAGGTGCACACCACCACGCCTGGCTAATTTTTGTATTTTTAGTAGAGACAAGATTTTTCCATGTTGGGCAGGCTGGTCTCGAACTACTGACCTCAAGTGATCCGCCCACCTCCACCTCCCATAGTACTGGGATTATAGCCATAAGCTACTATATCCAGCCTTCTTTGCTTTGCTCTTTTATTTTTTTGACAGGGTCTTGCTCTGTCACCCAGCAGGGTGAAGTGCAGTGGCGTGATCTCAGCTCACTGAAGCCTTGACCTCCCAGACTCAAATGATCCTCCCACCTCAGCCTCCCAAGTACCTGGGACTACAGACACCCATCACCATGTCCAGCTAATTTTTGTATTTTTTGTAGAGACTGGGTTTCGCCATGTTGCCCAGGCTTGTCTTAAATTCCTGTGTTTAAGGAATCCTCCTACCTCGGCCTCCCAAAGTGCTAGGATTACAGATGTGAGCCACCATTCCTGATCTTTTTTTATTTTTTGAGACTGGGTCTCACTCTGTAGCCCAGGCTGGAGTGCACTGGCACAATCATTTCTCATTGTAGCCTCAATGAGAAATTGAGGCTAAAGTGATCCTCAGGCTAAAGTGATCCTCCCACCTCAGCCCCCCAAGTAGCTGGCACCACAGGCATGTGCCACCACACTGGGCTAATTTTTTTATTTTGTAGAGATGGGTCTCCCTATGTTGTCCAGGCTGGTCTTGAATTCCTCTGCTGAAATGATCCTTCTGTCTCAGCCTCCTAAAATGCTGGGATTACAGGTGTGAGCCATGGCTCCCAGCCACGGCCATTTTCATCTCCCACAAACCTAGGCAACCACAAATCTACTTTCCGTCCCTCGGAATTAATTTATGCTTTTGGAAAACGAATACATGTAGGCATGCGTGAACAGAGATTTGATCATATCCTTTGAAAAAACGATTCAACTGCCTGGGTCAGGGGAGGTTAGCTCAACAGTGGTAGTTCCAGGAATTTGTGATGTGCCAGAAATTAAGAACTCAGGTTGAGAACAGTGATAGTTGCACTGTGTTAAGATGAAATTGACATTTATGATTTCCTTTTTTTTTTTCCTTTTACAAATGCTTTCTGAACTAACATGATGTACTAATCTCTAAGAAAAGTAGGCCTACTTGTCTCTCACTTAGATTGCAATCATAAAGGTCTAATTTTTCTGTAAAAACATTACTCTTCTTAGATTACAACATACTCGTAAACAAAACCCCAAAAAAGGCATGCTTTGGGTTTAACTGCCTTAAAACAAGTTGTTTTCTATTGTGAATGCTTGAAGTTGTCCAACATCTAATCTTCTAGAAAACAATTTGCTAATTTCGCCTATGATTGTTTTCTGTTTGGGGCATTGTGTGAGTGGTGCCTCTTTGAAGAACTTCACACACACAGGAAGCAGCTCCACTGCAAGGTGATTCACTTGAGAAGGTCCCTCCTTCCCTTCATTACCTTCCCAGCCCCCGCAAACACACACACAACCTGACACAGGGTGGGAGGACAGAAACTGCCGTGCAACTGCAAAGAGATCTTGGCCACCAAAGCAAATAGGTGGAATGTATCCATACCTGATACAACTTTCCAAATAGTCATAGAATTTGGCAGTCGTAACATCACTAGGCATACAATGACTAGGGCTTCGTTTCGATGAAGGGGACTGTGAAGCCGGCTCGGGAGAGAGGAATGAGGGACCATCTCCTTAGAGAAGTGGGTCGGTAGAAATCATTTCTTATACTTGGCAGGGGTGGAGGACAGGCTCCCTGAGTCACGACTCAGGCGTTTAGGGACCTGTGGCTTGGGTTTTTCCCCTTCTGCATATTCTGTGTGTGGTAGGTAGACTTTGCTTCTGGGAGCATCTGTGGGAGGCCACTATTTTTGGTTCTTATGAGAGGCGGGAGGAGCATTCAGTGAGTACTACTTGGGTGGGTCTTAGTGGTCTATTTCTTGGAGTTTAGATTATTTCTTTTTATTTATTTATTTTTTTTCCGAGACGGAGTCTCGCTCTGTCGCCCAGGCTGCAGTGCAGTGGCGCAATCTCAGCTCACTGCAAGCTCCGCCTCCTGGGTTCACGCCATTCTCCCGCCTCAGCCTCCGAGTAACTGGGACTACAGGCGCCCACCACCACGCCCAGCTAGTGTTTTGTATTTTTTAGTAGAGACGGGGTTTCACCGTGTTAGCCAGGATGGTCTCGATCTCCTGACCTTGTGATCCGCCTGCCTCGGCCTCCCAAAGTGCTGGGATTACAGGCGTGAGCCACCGCCCCCGGCGGAGTTTAGATTATTAGCTTGCTCTGGAAATTTCCCTTGGATGCATATGGCCTAGCTCAGATGTGATATGATCAAACCTTCCCTGTAGTTAAGCAGAAAAAAAACAAAATAAATTTGAATTTAAAAGGGGATGAGTATGCTCAGTCTGTTTTCCCTATTCTTTATCATGACTTTTGGGGATGTCTTGAATCTTAAAAAATTAATCTTGCAATGGGGAAAAGTAAGGAGGCTTTTCCTTCCTAAGAAGGGTAATGCTTAACATTTGTGGGATTCGGGTGATAAGTTTGCTACAAAACGGCTCCTACAGTTCAGAGAAAATGACACGGCAGAAATGAGCTGCCAGCAGGGCCAGGCTGTCGGCTTTGAAATTCCAGAGGCCTGCCCAGCCCTTTCGGTTTCCTGGAATGCTTTCATTCAGTCGTCATGTGGTAGGTGAGGAAACACCCTGCAACATCAGTGGTGAGCTGGAAGAATACCTCATCTGCCGTCAGGGGACAGAGGCCCAGGGCGACAGGCACACATCCCCGCCTATGCTCAGCGGTACAGTCAACGGACCGCGGGGCCGGGGCACGCAGGCTCGCCCAGCAGCCGTGTCAGACCTGTGTGCACAAACTGACGGTTCACGCCCGGGTCACAGACGCCCGCTGTCTCCTGGCCAGAGGTTGACGCACAGGCCAACTGTTGGACAGGCTCATGCTCTGTGTCATGAGAAAGGTGGAGCAGAGGTGACTCAGGGAAAGGCTGCTTTCCCCTAACACTGGCATTTGATTAATCTCATCTCAAATGCTGTCACTCACCCAGAAAGGGCCTAAATGTGCCTTACTTCCGCTGCTGGAGCGGTGGAATGTGTCGGCAGCTGTCGGGATGATGTGGAAGCCCAGCGCGAGGAGGGAGGAAAAGTACCAGATCCCACTGAACCGGTCCGAGGAGTGCAGGCAGGAGGGGAAACAGGCATCCGCACCGGGACTGGCCACATCCTAAGGCTGGAGGCTACCCTGCTACAAAAAGGCCCATTAGTAGGGAAGCAACGGGAAAAGCATTTTCTAGGGGGGGGTTTACTTTTTTTTTTTTTTTGAGACGGAGTCTCGCTCTGTCACCCAGGCTGGGGTGCAGTAGTGTGATCTCCGCTCACTGAAAGCTCCGCCTCCCGGGTTCAAGCGATTCTCCTGCCTCAGCCTCCTGAGTAACTGGGATTACAGGCATGCTTCACCACTCCCAGCTAATTTTTGTATTTTTAGTAGAGACATATTGGCCAGGTTGGTCTCGAACTCCTGACCTCAGGTGATCTGCCCGCCTCAGCCTCCCAAAGTGCTGGGATTACAGGCGTGAGCCACTGCACCTGGCTGGCTTTTCCTTTTCACACAGCCTTGGAGAACTTCGGGAAGAGCTGTCATTAGTAGAACCTAAGATGGACTGAATCCCTTGTGTAGGTGAATTTGTGTATAGGACCTCTTACACATGTGAAGCCTGGAAATCGAAGATAATGTCAGGGCTTGTGGAAATAATCATAGCTATTATGACATATCATTAACTACAATTAATTGCATTAATAACAATAGTATTAAACATTTACTTTGTTCCAGGCCCTGATCTAAGACCCTGATCTAAGACTTTTTCCTTGATTATCTCATGTGATCCTTTCAACAACTCCCTTAAAGCAATGCTTTTAGCAAGCCCATTGTACCAATGAGGACATGGGGACCCAGAGAGGCAGCACACAAGATCACCCAGCTGACATGAGGCCATCCAGTACTGAAATCAGGCCAGGCTGGTGGCTCATGCCTGTAATCCCAGCACTTTGGAAGGCAGAGACAGGTGGATCATTTGAGGTCAGGAGTTCGAGACCAGCCTGGCCAACCTGGTGAAACCCCTTCTCTATTAAAAATACAAAAATTAGCTGGGCGTGGTGGCACATGCCTGTAATCCCATCTATTCGGGAAGCTGAGGCTCAAGAATCACTTGAACCTGGGAGGCGGAGGTTGCAGTGAGTTAAGAGTGCGCCACTGCACTCCAGCCTGGGCGACAGAGTGAGACTCTGTCTGAAAAAAAAAAAGAAATCAATGAAATGTGTAATTTCAAACTCCAGGCTGTGGCTGGAAGGGCAGACCTCACTCATGTTTTCAAAAGTGAGTATCTTTCCACTAGCCAAGTTAGGATTGCCTCTGGCAAGCAAGAAATTGGGGAAAGATGAAAGAAAATAGCCGCCTTCTGCTTGCCCCAGGCTGGACAGCGGTGTGGCAGCACATGGCTCTCAGCCTGGACTTGGAAGCCGAATTCCGGACTCTTCCTTCTCCCACATTCCCCAGGGGGCAGAGCCAGTCTTCGAGAGAATAACTTTCCCCATCATTCCCGGATCCCAAGCCAACCATGAATCGTGAAATAATCAGTTTAGGCCGGGCGCGGTGGCTCACACCTGTAATCCCAGCACTTGGGGAGGCCGAGGCAGGCGGATCGCAAGGTCAGGAGATCGAGACTAATGAGTTTGCAAGTGAGCTGAGATCACACCACTGCACTCCAGCCTGGACAACAGAGCGAGACTCCATCTCAAAAAAAAAAAGAAAGAACCAGCTTAATTGTAGAGTGAGTGGGAACACACACAGCCAATATACACATTTACTACCCATACGCACATCAGAGGATCCACAGGTACCCTCTGTTGGCAAAAAAGCAGCCCAGGTCACTTTTAACTTCTGTATTTATTTTGTAGAGACAGGGTCTCACTCTGTCACCCAAACTGGAGTGCAGTGGTTTAATCACGGCTCACTGCAGCCTCAACCTCCTGAACTCAAGCAGTCCTTACATCTCAGCCTCCCTACTAGCTGGGATTACAGGTATGCCACCATGCCCAGCTAATTTTTTTTATTTTCAGTTTTTGCAGAGACGTGTTGAAAGAAAAACCTTAGCCAAATTAAGTTTAACACAGTTTAATTGAGCAAAGAATGCTTTGCCAATCAGGCAGCCTCCCAAGCCAGAGTAGCTCAGAGAGACTCCAGGGCAGCCACACAGTGGAAGATCTATAGACAGAAAAAGGAAAGTAACATAGAAAACAGAAGTGAGGTATAGAGACAATTGGATTGGCTACAGCTTGGCGTTTGCCTTATTTGAACACGGTTTGAACAGTTGGCCCTCTTTGATTGGCCAAAACACTCTGATTGGCACAAGAGTAGGTTACAGTGGGTTTATACCTCCATTTAGGTTGTATATAGTTCACTATGTACAGAGAAACCTCTAAGTTGAACTTTATGTAAGGAGGCCACATTAGGCTAAACTTGATTTAACAGACAAGGTCTCACTATGTTGCTCAGACTGGTCTCAAACTCCTGACCTCAAGCAATCTTCCTGCTTCAGCTTTGATGAACCTCAGAAGGGGAGGTCATTAGCAGAACCTAAGATGGACTGAATCTCTTGTGCGGGTGAACTCTTGTATAGGATCCCTATATGTGAAGCCTGGAAGATAATACCAGGGCGGGCATAGTAATCATAGCTATTATTAGCAGCCTCCCAAAGTGCTGGGACTACAGGTGTGAACCACTGAACTCAGCCCCAGGTCACTTATCTTTAAGGTGAACCTTAGCATGCCTCAGAATTACCAGAAGGACCTGTTCAAACACAGGGTGCTGGCCCCGCCTCCGGAGTTTCTGACCCAATAATCCTGGATGGGGCCTGAGAATTTGACCCACGTGTTCCCAGGTGCTGACACCACTGGTGGGAGACTACCCTTTGGGAACTATTGTTTGAAGAGTGAAAGCTCTAGAAATATGTATAATTTCTGGTCACACATCACTGCCTGTTTAAATGTGATACCAGGCCCGACTTGGTGGCTCATGCCTGTAATCCCAACACTTTGGGAGGTCAAGGTGGGTGGATCACCTGAGGTCAGGAGTCCTAGACCAGCCTGGCCAACGTGGTGAAACCCCGTCTCTACTAAAAATACAAAAATCAGCCGGGCGTGGTAGTGGACACCTGTAATCCCAGCTGCTCAGGAGGCTGAGGCAGGAGAATCACTTGAACCCAGAAGGCAGAGGTTGCAGTGAGCTGAGATCGTGCCATTGCACTCCAGCCTGAGTGACAAGAGTAAAACTCCATCTCAAAATAATAATAGTAGTAATAATAATAAGAAAATGGGATAGCAGTTGTTCTCGAGGATTTTCATCCTTGCAGCCTGTATGCTTTCCTGTTGCTGCTGTCATCAGTTACACTCACAAGCGGAGTGGCATTACACAGCACAGATCATCTCACTGTTCTGGTCAGAAGTCAGAAATGGGTCAGCAGGGCTGCTTTTCCTTGTGGAGGGTATAGGGGAGAATCCATGTCCTTTTCAGGCTTCTAGAGGCTGCCTGTGTTCCTTGGCTTGCAGCCCCTTCCTCTATCTGCAAAGCCAGCAGCAGAGGTGCATCTTCAACCCCTCTGCTCCTCTCTTGCACACACACACCTCTGCTCCCATCATCGCATTATTGTCTTTGTCTCTAACCCTCCTGTCCCCCTCTTATAAGGACCTCACGATGACATTGGGCCCATTCAGGTAATCCAGGACAACTTTTACATTTTAAGATGCTTACTAACATCTGCCAAGTCCTTTTTTTCCCTAGAAGGTAGCATATCCACAGATTTCAAAGATTAGGAGATGGGTGTCTTTAGGGACCATCTACCCATCCTACCACATGCTTAAACTCCAGCAGGTGGCCAGGCATGGTGCCATGCACCTGTAGTTCCAGCTACTCAGGAGGCTGAGGTGGAAGGATTCCTTGAGCCTAGGAGGTCAAGGCTGTAGTGTGCAATGATGGGGTCTGTGAGTAGCCATTGCACTTAAGCCTGGGCAACATAGGAAGACCTCATCTCAAAAAAAAAAAAAAAAAAAAAAAAAAAAAACAACTCCAGCAAATATCCTTCCATCCCGTATCTCCCACAAAAATGAAAACAAGGAAAAAACTAAAAGAGCATCAGGATTTGCATTTGCATGATGCTAAGTCAGAAGGTAAAGTCAAATTTTCCCCTTCTTCTGATTTACCTGGTCGCAGGAGGGGCTGGTGGGAAAAGTCAAAGAGCCTGAAGAGGAGCAGGGAAGGAAGGACTAGGGCGGCTAGAAGAGGGAAGGAGTTAGTGACATGCATCCGTGTGGGCCTCTTGACCGTGCCCCAAACACCTACTCAGTCTACCTGCTACTTTCTGGACTTTCTAGGACTGGAACCCTGGTCTCCCTTTTGAGTCAAGAGACCTTAGTGTCTCCACTAGACTTGCAGGGCAGCAGTGCCTGCCCAGCCCCCAGCACTGCCTTACGATCCTGCCTGCGGGACACCTGGGAAAGATGCAGAAAGAGAAACTGCACTAAAAGGCTAGACTCTTGTGTGTTGAAATTTCTGCTTATTACCGTTGGAACTTTTCTGAAGTCCCAGCCTTAAGGCTGTGAATTCTCTGTCTGTGGGTGTGTGAGTCAGCTAGGCCTGCCATAACAAAGTACCATAGACGGGGTGCCTTAAACAACAGAAGCTTATTTCCTCAGTTCTAGAAGCTGGAAGCCTGAGATCAAGGTATCAGCAAGGTGGTTTCTTCTGAGGCCTCTCTCCTTGGCTTGCAGGTGACTGGCCTCTCTCTGTCCTCACTTGGTCTATGCACATAGGTCCTGCTGCCTCTCTTCTGAGAAGGATGCCACTCATTGGATTATGACCCTAATGACCCAACTAACTTAATCATCTCTTTAAAGACCCTATCTCTCAAGAGAGTTACATTCTGAGAGTTAGGACTTCAACATATGCATTTGTTCGGGGGTGGGAGGACACAAGTGGCCCATAACATTGGGCTAAGACCCTGGGAGGTAAAGAAAGATCACTCAGTTTTCCCTGGTGTAACAGGTGGACTAGGCCCAACGAGGATGAATGCTGGGAAAGGGAGTCCAAGCTGTTAACTTTAAAAGTGCGCTCTGGGGGCCGGGCATGGTGACTCACACCTGTAATCCCAGCAAACAAACAAAAACAGGCAGTTCTGGGTTATGGGGCAC